AAACAATTAGGCCCAAGAAACCCTAATAAATAACTTTCACATAAAACCCACAAAAATAACTAAAACACTATATCACATGATCAAGAAATTGGCTTTTGAAGAAAATGAAAATAAAATATTGAAAACCTTAATTTCAAACACTAAAATGGGATATTCAATATTTTCGTCCGAACTTTGTGGGCCAGAGAGGTCCTTTGAAGATGGTAAAGTTCCTAGGCATGTCAAATTCGCCTTCAAGAGTCCTGTTCGGTGCCGCATCATCTGGATAACCTTGCGTTTGCCAAGAATTGGATCTAATCACATATATTAGGAGTGTAAAATGAAATCATCCGGTTTTAATATAATTAAATATGGTATTAAGTATTTTGTTTTAAACAATTAGGAATATAATATAATTGTATTAATTTTTATCCGAACCAAACACCGAAGCATGTAATGTTGCCAAGTAAGCTTTCAAAGCGTGCGAGCCAGCCATTTAGGCTCAACACGTTTTCAAATTATATTAAGGGAGGGATTATGATGGGTGCATATATATAATATATATACATAAGAATATATAACGATGAAAAGAACATTAAGTGTTATGGGATGTGTAAATAAATAAATAAATACCACACACATGTCATTTTCTTAATACATATAATATATAATAAAATGGACAAACATCATCCTTGCATTTATTTTAAACTTTTATGATCATGATGCATAGAACATGCGACTTTCACTAGAATGAATATGTTTAAGTTGGTCTTTGATATTTTTAGCATTTATGACACAAAAGATAAGTTAGCATTTATGACACAAAAGATAAGTACTTATATTAATCTCCACCGCCTTAGTAATTCCACCGCCATAACCACTATAAATAGAGTTAGGCTGCCCAGTTTGATAGTAACCAAAGAAAAATAAATAAATCAATTAATAAAATTATATTTGTGAGTAATTTTCTGAGCAGCGTCATAGAAGGTGAAGGTATGATTCTATACTTTCTTATGTATTAAATTATAGTAATAATATTAGTTCAATAATTATATGTTAAATTGTTCATCTAAAATCATAGAGTTCGAATATCTTAACAATTTGAAGAACTGGTGTTTGAAGGAGGCGAACGGGGCCACGAACGGTTATGTCTCGGCGACCCCGAACCCGACCTTCAGACTACCGAAACTTTTAAAATATATATCATATGAATTCTCTCGTTCCTAGGAGCACGTTGATTAATTTAGATTTTGATTTCGTGGTGTGGAAGATAGGTAAGGAGTCATATATATGCATATTTGTCATTATGCGCAATCTGTTCAGTTTTCTATTATTTTGACCTTCAAACTTTATTCCTTGATTTTGAGTGTCTTCAGAGAACTTATAGTAAACCTTATTGTCTTTATACAGGAACAAGAATTTTATAAATATCTATTATATATATAAAGTTACGTTAAAAATACTACATCATGCTAGTATGTTAAAATATAATCAATTAATTAATAAATATCTATGTCGGTGTGTCGGTTTACGGGATCTTTTAATGTAAATGCCCACTTGTTTTGACCAACGTTGTAGTTTCGTCTCTTATATTTCTAAAACTTCAGTTTAAAATACTGTGTGTCTTATGAATATACCGGAGCAAGAATTAGTTAAATATAAATTTCCTAACTAAAATTATGTTTAAAGAATGATGTATTGCTCATAGTTTTAAATCTAAGAAAAAAATAATTTATTTATGATTATTATGATATGTTAGATAATTATAAATTATAAATTAATGAACATATTTTGTTATGATTAGATCAAGTTAAACGTACAAGTTGATTTCCATATTTACAAGGCTATAAGCTAAGGATTCGAGGTAAGTACAAGTCCATTCTCAACTACAATGCTGATGTGGGATATTATACGACTAAGGAGCAGACCGGTCCATCATGTCGGTCAGGCAGGCATAGGGTGGAGAAAACCACGTTGGTTGAAGGATGATCGACCAAAACGGAATAGATCGAGCAGAATAGGAGAGCTGGCCGAGGATCGATTTAGTAAGGGGGAGCTCGATCAGATCGAGCACGCAGCAGGTAGGAAGCAGTCGAGAGCGTGACCTGAACGCGAGTGGGCGCGTGGGTGATGTCAGGAGATCCCAACGGCCTGCGCAAGGGAATAATTCCCCTCAGCTCAGAGGGGGGCACGTGGCGAAAACGTATTGGTGCAGAGTGATAGTGGCAACAACCACCTCTGACACCCCTGACATTTCTGACAACACGCACACTGTGTGTGTACGGACGGGCAGCGCGGGCAGGACAGCTCACCAATATCCGGGCAGCTCTTAGGGCAGGTATCTCACTCCTATATATATGGGAGTGGGTCTTTTCTTAGGGTTTACGATTTATCCATTCTTTACTTTGGAAAATTGAACAAACACATACTGACTTAAGCATCGGAGGCTCTTCACCGGAAAACCCCTCCGGTGTGAGAGTTTTGTGCAGGAACGCAGCGTTCTACCAGCGAAGAAGAAGGAGGCAGGCCGATTTCAAGCCCGTCGGAGTGTTTTGCGTTACCATTTGGCGCCGTCTGTGGGACTTTCGTTCGAAAAGTGGTGTGCTGAGATTTCTGAAGCTCGGTGGCTATGGCGGACGGAATTCCTAGGAGAGATTTACAAGCATCGTTCGATGATGCGTGGACGATGACGAGGCCGTTTGGAGAAGGCCCACCTCCGGGCTTCTGTGGACCCTCGCGTACACCGGTGACTGCGACGCCTGTTCCCCAAGGTGTAGGAGTCACGCCGGTGCAACCAGAAGCTGATGTGGGCTCAAATCGGGCCCAGGAGACCCGCACAGCTCAAGGTGCGGCGATCCCAACGCTGCCGCAACCAGATCTGGCCGTGACGCTGCAGCGAGGAGCGGCGGTACAAGGAGCGGTGCCGCCGCCGGTGGAGGAACTGCGTCCTGGCCAGCAGGTGGTGATGACTAGGCAGGAGATGCAACAGATGGTGGCGAACGCGGCGGCACAAGCGGTTCAGCAGGTCACTCAAAGCCTTTCGCGAGTGGCTGTTGGACCAACGATGGTGGATGAGGACGTGTCTAGCTATGGAGGAGATGGAGCCTTAAGAGATCGTGAGGTGGAGAGGCTCGCGGAACAGGTGAGGCAGATGCAGACTAAGATGGATGGTCGACCTGAAAGACGTGCTCGAGGACATCTGTTCTCGAGGGATATATTGGCTGCACCATTACCTGCGAATTTCAGAGACATGAGTTTGATGTTCGATGGGACCACTGACCCGTCGAGGCATGTAAGGGCGTTTGAGAATTTGGCTGTGTTGCTTGGTTATTCTGACTCGGTTAGCTGCAGGGCATTCTTGTCGACTTTGAGGGGAGGCGCGCTCGACTGGTTTCAGCAGCTCCCTCATGGATCGATCAAGGACTTTGATAATTTCACGAAAAAGCTGATGACCCAGTATGCGAGTGCGGTGGCACAGGAAAAGACGTATTTGACGTTGATGGCCATGAGGCAAGGGGAGAAAGAATCATTGCGCAAGTATGTCGCGCGATACAATCAAACTTGTTTGGAGATCCCCACGGCCTCGGACGAGGTAAAGGCTGGGGGGTTGATACAGAGTTTGCGAGCAGGGCCTTGTCGAACTTCTTTAGCCAAAACCCCTGCTCGTACGTATGACGATGTGCTAAAAAGGTGTAAGAAGTATATTAATTTGGAGGAAACGGAGGCCGAGTTTGCTAAGTTGGAAGAGTTGGCTAAGCCAGAGCCGAAGAAAGGAAGGGTAAGCTCGCCTCGAAGAGTATCCCCGGGTAGGAGATCGCCCAGAAGAGAGGGGCGTGGCAGGATTGATCGAGGGCGAGAAGATAGGTGGAAGGATCGACCAGTATTTGGGGGAAAGCGGTTCCAACACTTTACGCCCCTTAATGCGAAAATGGGAGAGGTGCTGGTGGCTATTGAGAAGAAGATAGAGGATAGGGATGTGACGTGGCCGAAGTCGAGGCGTGAGGGGCCGATACAGCCTAGGTCGAGCAAGTATTGCCGTTTTCATAAAGATTATGGGCACATAACGGAGAAGTGCAGGCACCTCAAGGATGAGATCGAGCGCCTTATCAGGGCAGGGTATCTTAAGGAGTTCGTGTATGAAGGAAAGGCGAAGGGGAAGGATAAAGGAAAGTGTCGAGAGGACTCGGTGGAGCGGAGTGATCGAGATGATGATGAGGAAGGCGATCCCCGAGGAGGAAGGGGTGATCGAGGAGGCAAGAGGAGACGAGGGAGTCAAGATCGAGGAGGTCAGGAGGATCAAGGCCCAGTGAAGAGAGGAACGATCTATATGATCTCGGGGGGCCCGACTGATGGGGACTCGAACAATGCAAGGAAAGGCCATGTTCGAGCGATGAAGAGGAAGAGAGAAGAGGTGGGGATCACTGCTCGGATGTCGGAGATAAGTTTTCGAGCGCAAGATGCAGAGGGAGTAGTATTGCCCCACAATGATGCACTGGTGATAACGGCGGAGGTGGCTGGTTTTGATGTGAAGAGGGTGTTTATCGATACGGGGAGCTTGGTGGATGTGATGTTTTATGATTGTTTTGTGCAGATAAACAAGGAGCTCAACCTCGACTTGAAGCCGGTGGCCACAGCCCTATATGGATTCAACGGAGGCGAGGTGATGCCGATGGGAGAGGTGAGCCTTTCCGTTGCCTTGGGGCAAGGAGTGACGAGGAAGGTGCGAATGGTGAGGTTTGTGGTTGTTGGAGCAGAGTCCTCGTACAACATTATCATGGAAAGGACCAGCTTAAATGCTTTCCAGGCGGTCGTGTCGACGTACCACATGACAATCAAATATCCGGTGGGGGAAAACGTTGGTGAGGTCGCAGGAGATCAGCTTACCTCGAGGAGTTGCTATCAGACCACGGTGAGCAATAATAAGCAACTCTCGAGGAAGCAAGCGAAGCTTGAAGAGGGAGTATCGAGCCGACCTGGGGGCTCGAGGTTAAGAGAAGAGAAGGAGAGAGCTAATAAGGGGAAGGAGAAGGTGGAGATGCAGCCAGGAGGGGAGATTGAGGAGGTCCAGATGGTATACGGGTGCGAAGAGAGAACATTTCGGATAGGTAAGGAGATTGAGGAGCCCATAAGGTCGAAATTGATTGGGTTGGTCAGAGAGTTCGCGGATGTTTTTGCGTATACGGCTGAGGAGTTGACGGGGATAAAGGCGGAGGTGATAGAACATCGTTTGAGCATCGACTTAATGGTGAGGCCAGTGAAAAAAAAAAGGTGACACCATGGCGCGGAAATGGACAAGGTGATCGAGCAGGAGGTTGAGAAGTTGTTGAAGGCGGGCCACGTTAAGGAGATCCAGTTCCCTGAATGGTTGTCGAACACGGTGATGGTGTCTAAGTCTGGGGGGAAGTGGAGGATGTGTATTGATTTTCTTGACTTAAACAAGGCGTGTCCGAAAGATTTGTATCCATTGCCCAGGATCGACCAGTTGGTTGATTCTAC